CTCAGGAGGAGTAATTGAGCAGTGAGTTGCCCAAACGCAAAGGATGGTGATCCCCATAACAGGGAGCACTGAGTGTAAGGGAACAGTCTCTGGAATAATCTGTGCTGAGGCCCTTGGAATGCCCGCTGCTCTAGCCGAGAACAGCGGTGGATCTGACACACTGGATGCCAGTCTTGGATACCTTGGGACTGGCCTTGTGGCAATGGGCATGGTCGACCCGGCATGAGAAGACTCTGCATGATCAACTGAGACGTGACTCCGAACGATCAGCCGCGACGTGACTGGACTCAGGAAGAATGGCTGTGACTTGACTAGGACACAGGGATGGCAGTTGTGGCGGGGATAGTGCTAAGGTGAGTTGGTTTGGGGATACCAGCAGAGCGTGCAGACACCAGTGGTAGATTGCTCACACTGGATACCAGACTGGGATACCGAAGGACTGACTTTTTGGCAATGGGCATGGCCGATCCTGCTTGAGAAAACTCTGGACGATCAACTGCAACGTGACGAGACTCTGAATGATCAGCTGTGACTTGACTAGACTCAGGGATGGTAGTTGTGACGTGGGTAGTCTCCGTGCTAGCAACCATCTTACAAAAAGTCTCTGGGCTGGCAGGCATTTTGTGACGAGGCTCGGGTACAGGGACCACAGAACAGAAAGGGGCTGGAAACCTCGGAGTAGTGACCTCCTCAACCTCCCCAACTGTAAAGGGAGATCCACAAAACTGCAAAACAAAGTCAATAAACTGTGCCAGGGTCCAGCTGGGGTCTTCCTCTGGTAAATTTAAGCTAATATTAGCATCAAGACCGCTCCAGAAACAGTATTTTACCAAATCCTCATCCCCAGGCATAAGGTGGCTATACAGAAGGAATTCCTCCACATAAAATTCAATGGGTCTGCCATTTTGAAAAATGGAGCAGCGCACACTTACGGGGTTGAATGAACCTTTGGCTGGCTCCATACCTGGTCTGGTGCTCAATAAAGCTGCTGGATCCGGTTTTGGCTGATTATTCTGTTACGTGCAGAATGAGACGTTAGATATTAGGATCCATATGCAGGCTTTTAATAGACAAAAAACGTCAAAACAGGGGCAAACAGGTATAATCCAAGAGCAGACAAAAAGAGTAATCCAATAAGCAATCCAAGGTCAAAATTCATAGGCAAAACAAAGCAAGGCAAGACAGAAACTAGACAGGGTAACAAGCTAACAGGCTAAGCAATAATCAGCGATCCCTCCGAGTATGAGAATGGAAACTTCTCCATCAGACTCCAACATCTGAATTTCACAGATTCAGGACAGTTCTCCTGCTCTATTATCCCACACGAGGATCAGGAACACAAGGAACACAAACTAACACTGATAGTCAAAAATGTGAAAACTGAGTTTTCTTCCAAGGAATTATGGCAAG